ATATGCACAAAAATAAATAAAAAATAAATAAATGCACCGTAGAGGCTGGGGAGATGGCTCAGCAGTTAAGAGCACTGGCTGCTCTTGCAGAGGACCTGGGTTCAGTTCCCAGAACCCACATGGTGGTTCACAATCATCTACAGGTCCAGTTTCAGGAGAACTTGACACCCTCTTCTGGCTGCCACAGGCACTGCACGCATGTGATGTGCTTACATACGTGAAGGCAAAGCACTCATACACATAGAATTTTTTAAATTAATTAAATTAATTAAAAATACATTTCATTCTACCTTAAGACACAAATGACTGTCCTATTGACAAGGACTGGGTAGAAGGTGGGGAGCAAAGACACCAGGTGGTGTAGATGGCTGGAACCCCAGCAATAATTAACAAAATGCTCTTCATGTTTCCTTAAACAAACTCCAGGCAAATGCCAGACACTGACTATAAAAGAATATGAGGAACCACGAACTCAAGTCCATGGTGGTCCTGGAAATGAGGGCCCAAGTGGCATGAGATAAACAGCCATAGAGAGCAGAGAGCTGATTCAAGAGGGAAAAAGAAGAAATAATGGATTGTGGTGGGTTTTTGCATGTGGTGGGGAGAGAAGCAAAAAATAGCTCTTGCTTCTTTATGGTGTAGGGTAGGGTAGAGAAAGAAAACCTATAGTCCAGTATGATAAAGCAGGCCGCCTCTGAGGATACTGCCACATGGGAGTGCTCTTGAAGGAAGTAACTATAAGGCAGCAGTATGTAGTAACTGGTATCAGCCTAGAGATGTAGATAGTTGGTATGCTGCTTATCTAGCATGCATGAAGTCCTAGGTCTAATCCATAGCACTAGGTTAAACTTGGAGAGTGCATGCCTATAATCCAAAAAATCTGGGAGGCAGGAGGATCAGGAATTCAAGGTCATCCTCAGCTACATAGTGAGTTTGAGGCCAGTTCGGGATACATGAGCTCCTGTCTCAAAAAGCCCAGACTCATCATAATCATTATCATCACCACTCAAAATAATGATAATAATTACTGGTATCTTACTGGGAACAGCAGGCTGTTTTTCCTGTAGGTTATTAAGTCTGATCAGCAGGGTGCAGATGCCGCTCATGCCGTGTGTGTTATCAAATATCCTACTGCAAGACGTGATGTACTCTAAACTGTACTCTAGCCAGCACACTAGGGGCAACCGGTTCAACTACTTCTTGGTCATATGATCTCCTAACTTTTGTGCCTCAATTTCCTCGTTTATAAAAAGGATACTGTACTTTACTCTTAAGTATCAAGGTTAGGGAATTGACTGAACTGGTAGAGATCACATGTTTAGAATTACGCTTGGTTCATAGAAAATGTTTGGTGAAGATTTGTTCTGATTTTACTCTGATTACTCTTACCACTGCTCCATTGACATTGCCTGACAGATCACAAGGTAAAATCTCAACAAGCTAAAATACCACCCACAATATTGACGCCTTTCAAACTTCACCCTGCTCTGAATTCTCAGAATTCCTGACACATAATAGTCTGAAGTAGTTATATTATGAAAAGTTCAGGAGAATTCTTGAAATATCACTCTGGGTCCTGAGGCATTCTGGGAATTCTTACAAACCCTCCAGGACTGTCCTGTCCCCAGTGAGCCATTACTGATTCTCCAGGAAAGGGTCTCTCTCGACATTGCATAAGCATTGGGTATTTATAGAAGTTCCTGTCTTTATTCCACCCAGCCTTTCCCTAATCCATTTTGAAGATAGGCAATCAAAGAAGGAGCAATACTAAAAGAATGAGGAAGTGTTTAGCACCAAGTGAAAGTCCAGGCTCTGCTGTTGATTTAACATGTGTCTTAAGCTCCATGAAATGGCTTCCTCACTTATAAAGGGAAAATTACGGCCACTTGGTCAATTGACATCCCTGTCAGGCAGGTCAAAGAGAAAGGAAACATAAAAGCAATTGCATAAGTACAAAACAAATTTGAAGGTATTGAGATCATCATATTGAGTCTCATTATGTTCAAAGGGCCAAAGAGATCCTAAAAACTTCTCCAAGTTCCAGGAGTCCACCAATGCTGTCAACTTTTCTTTAGTTGTGTCAAGACTTCTTCCATTTCTCAGGATCGCTCTAAGGATTAAACATGCTCACATTTTAAATGAAATACTGAATTCAGCTTCAGATTGCTCTCACTGATGTTCACTGAGTGTTTACCGAGCCCAAGCCACTGTGCCAGAAACATGGTATCTGTCATTTTATACTGTTTCTTAAAACAAAACTCCAGAAAGAGAAACTAGATTGTTTGCTCTTGGGAAAATAGAAGTTCACATAATATAAACAACTCACACAATCAGTGTCAAAGCTGAGGTGTGAACCTGGGTCTGCTCTGTCTTAGCTGTGTTCTAGGAGAGCCTCTTTACTAACTCTTTGATCCCTCTCTCTAAAGACCAGCTTCAGAGGGCTCATGACCTCTCTCAGAGGAGTGCTCAGCCTCCTCAACATCAAATCTGTCAATGTTATGAATCTGTGAAACTTCATGTAAACAACTACTTATTTAGGTATTCAATAAAAATAATCTGTGATTTCAACCACGACTCTGTACAGTAGCAATCTTTTGAACCATTTTCATAAAAAAATAAAGTTTAACACCCTGTATATATGATGGTATATACTGTGGGAATCATATATAAATATTACTGAAATGCATGGCTTTGGGAGAAATAGATTGCAATGTCATTAAAGTGAAGCACATTCAAAATCAGAAAAAAAAAAAAAAGGAAAAATTGTATAAGACAGGAAACTGCAGAGTTGGGCAGATCTGGGCTTACACATCCCAGCCCTACCTTATGCTAGCCTTATCACTTGACAAAGTTAATCACCTTAAGTTTCTATTCTTGTCATCTATAACATGAGAACAGCAACAATTACACTTCACTGGGTTGCCGTAAAGTTTAAATTTAGCACCACTGAACATGTAAAGCACCTAGAAGTTGTTTCAGGAGCCGTTTCTTCTCTTTAATGCCACTGGAAGATACCTACATGATACTGCTTGTGAATGGGACTGTGAGGAAATAGTTTCAGGGTTCACTGAAACTATAGATAAACTGTCACCTATGTAAAACCACTTACAACACTTGTGGCCAGCCACACCCACAAACAGAAACTAAAGACTTGGAATGGATTCTGTGATAACAAACCAAGACTCTTTCATGCAGGTGGACTATTTGGACCAGATGTACAAAATGAGATTTGAACAGACAGCAATAACTGATGCAAATGTACCATGCTCTAGGGACTAGGAACAAAGGACATCTGTCCTTAATCTCAATTTCCCTAAGAGACCTTGTTCTGTAAAGAGCCAGTCTAGAATGCTGGTTGGAGTATCACGTTTGGAGTGAGACAGGCCAAAGGTCAAAGTCTGTTCTACCACTTACTAGTTGATTGACTTTGGGAAAGTTGCTTAATTTGTCTCAATATCAGTTTCTTTGGGAATCCTAATGATGCATTCATTAACAGAATGAAAAAAATCCATATATAACACTCAGCACACATGATCTGTGAATAGCAATTACAGTATAATACTAATCATACTGATAAGTTACTTGGGGAAGTGTGCTGTATGAATAACATTCAGAACATAAAGGGAATGGGATTTGAAGCAATGCGAATAAAACAACAACCTACCTAAGCCCCTTTTCTGGGGCTACAGTGGATTGGCTTCCTGCTGGTTATTCTTGGTGCCATTTGAGTTTCCATTATCGCTTCAAAGTCCTTGGCTCATCCAAGAATCTTGGACAGTCAAGGAACTCCTGGGGGGGGGGGTGCAGTGAGGAGGTGAGCCCAGCCCAGCTCTTAAGACATCCCTTTGGTGACCCTAGGGCTAAGGTCAAGGTTGGAAAGTTCCTACTCACCGCTGACAAAAGCTGCATCAACCACAAAATGGTTTACTTCCAGAAAACCCTTAGAAGCCCAACTCTTAGAGAACAGAAAGTCCCCTGACAAAGTTCAGGAGTTGCAATCCAGTGTCAGGACATAAGGCCTGCTTGGTGAACTCCGCCATGTTTCAGCTTGGTGTCAGCGTCCTTCCAAAGCCAATTCACTACCTGTACACCTTTCACATTTCTGCCCTAAATTATGTTGCAGTGCTCAGCCCCTCCATGATCAAATGTGCGCTCTCTTGTTCAGCTTTAAAGTAATAAATGAGTAAGGAAGAAAATTTAGCTTATCAAATACAGTAAGAAAGAAATTCCAGGTGAGTAAGAATCAGATCTGAAAATCTAGAAGGGAAAATACATTAGTAACAGGGGCCATTCGTTCTCAGTCCCTTCATAGTCAAAACTGCCAGGCAACCTAAAACTAAGGGCATTTGCTCATTTATTACACTTTTTTTTCCCCCTGAGAGTCAGGGTCTTGCTATGTATCGCAAACTCACCTGAAACTCTCAATCTCTCTGCCTCTTGACTGACAGTGTTGCAGACCTGTGCCACTACACCAGGCAACATCAAACCTTTATCTAAGATATTTCTGTATTATCTTAGAAGAACTTTTTCCCTGCAAGGGTTAACAGAATCTGCTAGCACCTAAACTAATCAGTTGCCTAAAACATCTTAGTTAATGAACGGTCAAATTATGCCTTAGACTTACAAAACGCAATGTAAACATTTAAAAACAACTGGTACTTTCAGTTTGGCACTAAAGTAAAATACTACGTTCTAATCTTTCCGTTATGATTTGTGTAGGACAACTTTGATAACCGCACAGTGTAGTGTACAGACAAATTATTGGCAACATTCAAGCCAGCATGTCTCATTAACATTTGTAATTTTCTATTGTCAGGAAAATGATCATAGCAGATGTAGAAGGTACTATAACATCAATACATTCACAAGCAATGACTGTAATGTCAGCATTAATCAGACATGCATTTGTGCTAAGTACACATGCTCAGCACACCTGTGCACAGCACGTCCCAGTGTGAAAGCAGGTTAGGGGTTCCCTGCTGATGAATTCGCCTACTTACCATCCTATAATTTTTTTGTAAAGATGATGGCTCTTGTATAAGAAAACTTTTGTCGGGACCCAAATTAACAGACTCACTGCGGCCACGTAGGCAATGGAACAGGAAACAATGAGCCAGTAATGTGTTCTGTCAGGCGTGCTCCTCGTCCTCTGATAGGCAGTGGCAAACTGTTCCATGATCACAAGGGTAGGAATGATGAAGGCCACAAACTCCAGAAGCTCAAACAGCACAAGCTTAACTATCTTCCCCGAAAACATCCTGAAGAACAGCAAGCTGCCAAGGATCCAGGGCTTCCCTATTGACTGGGAGCTGGGAGTGGCACGTGAACAGATACTAAACTAGGATCAAGTTCCTTGTACTCAAATCACTAACCAGTGGTTTTATTCTTTTATTGACCCTCATATGGTTCAATGATCTTCTTACTTGACAACCATGGTCTCTTAAAGAAACAGGGCCACTGCGGAGGTGACCAGTAGATGCATTGCCACATTCCTACTTAGAAGTCAGAGAAATTCAAGCACATCTCAGAACACCCATAAAAACAGAGATTTTTTTAAATCTGATGTTTACTGGTAATTTTAGCACAAAAGATATTTATATAATAGTCAACCCTTCTTAGGTCAGAACCACTAGGATAATATAATTTTGGAGCTAAAAAGAATAGATTAATATATCATATAAATAAGTAATAAATTACATCTCTTCTTCCAGTCCCCTGTTTTTATATCTAAGTAAATTCATGCAAACTGATACTCAAACCCAAATATTCATCTCAGAAGCAACTATTATTCTTCAAAGTGCCTAGAAAGGGAGTTTGAATTTGGTTTATCAATTTCCTAACCAGAATTCTGCCTGATACAATATTTATTCATTGCCTGGTGTGGTGTTGCACACCTTTAATCCCAGCACTCAGGAGGCAGAGGCAGGCGGATCTCTGTGAGTTCAAGGCCAGCCTGGTCTCCATAGCAGATCTAGGCCAGCTGTGGCTACAAGGAGACCCTGTCTCAAAAAGACCAAAGCAAAACAACACCACCAAAAACAATACTGATTCATTATTGAACACTAATTTGCATGTAATACAAATTTATGTTGCTTTGTTTCATTAGTCAGGAGATGCACATGGTATTATTAGAGGCCTGTTATCAGGAATCACACATTATGAACTCTCTGTACCTTATTTAAAAAAAATATCAAATATGTAAAAGACAGCCCACCCATCTTTTCTACAAAGAAATCTATTTGAACCCCTTTGATGACTTTGCCAGGCATTCGGGTGTAACGATGAACAAATGGCAGGGCCTCCTGCTCTGAAAATGCTCATCAATGGAGAGAATAAACCTATGAAAAACAACAGAGAATAAAGGTCAGAGGTATAAACCAAATGTAATGGTGACGTGTGGGACTGTGGGAAAGGGAAGGACAGATAAAGGATAACCAAGATGGAGACAGAAAAAGAGGCAAGGAAGCTACAACAGTTAACAAGAACCCGGGTAGCACAGCAAAGAATAGGGCATGGTGACGTCAAAAGGAAGGGAAGCCAGGTAGCTGGGAGCCCCGGGGGAGGCTGGGTAAGAAGCAACAGACTCAGTGAGCCCTGGGATGACATGGACAGACATCAGCCTGCTTCTTTAGTTAGTTGTCTTATGCCTGTCAGACTGATGCAAGCCAACATTTTTCTAGGCTTCTCTGTCACCTATAATTTTCCTCTCCTTCCTAATCTCCTCTCACGTTCAGTTCAGATAACAACCAAGAACATTAGCAGTCGTCTAACATAACTGCTGTTCTTTATCACAGGGAATGCAGGTGAGTTTTCTTTGAGCAGGAGGGAGGCTGTAATTCTTGCCCGGAGACCTCCATGCCATGCAAAGAAATGTTGGCAGCGTTGGTATCCACTGAACACTTCATGTGTGCAGATCACTGAAGTCCCTGTGGGAGATGACACAGATACAGACAGACCTGGAAACATTATAGAGTATGCTGGGCATGTCAGGGCTGGGAAGAGGCCCCCTGCCAAGTCTTCCACCCTACTCCAGTCACATCTGCCTGAACAAGGGGTAATGGAACACCCAGTAATCCACATAAGACCCAAAGTCATCCAAGCCCATCAGACGCTCACCCTTAGCAATGTGAACCAAGAAACAGGTAAAATTGGGTAAGCTGAAAAGGGCCATCAATTTGAGTCAGAATTAGAGCTAGACGAGCTGCTTGTGCTCAAATCACCCCTGTCACATTGTCAATACTTAGGAACTATGATGATTAATTTGATTATCAACTTGATAGGGTCTAAAATCACCTAGATGGCAAGCCACAGGGCATAGCTATGAGGGACTGTCTAGGTTAGCCTCTGACCATGACTGTAGAGGATTATCTTGATTAGGTTAATAGAGATGGCCTGTCCACTATGAGCAGCACTCTTCCTACAGGCCCCAGACTGAAGAGGAGAAAGTGACCTGAACACAAGCCTTCAATTCTCGCTGCTTCCTAACTGTCATGGCCGCCTATATCCTCAAAGTGTGAGCCAATATAAATCCTCTACCCCTTAAATTGTTTTTGTCAGGATATTTTATCATAGCACCGTGGAAATTAATTAAGAGAATAATTACATAACTGAATGAATGGGGAGGGAACAGAAGAGTCAGCAGAATGACACTGACTCAGGCAGTGACGTGACTAGACGAGGCTGACGGAAAAGAATGCAAACCATGAAACACCCCACCCTCAGAGGCCTCAGCTGAAGGCTCAGTTCATGTAAATCCTTACAGAAGGCAGTCGTTCTTTACACCCCTGTCTGAGCGAGTACACACGGAGCTCATTGTGATAAGGGAGCAAGGTTTAGGTACAGGGGATAAATAACATTCTGGACGGATGTGTGACAAATGCTGACGGCTCAGAAGAAAACAATTGCACTGAAAACAAAGTAGGAAGTCAGAGGACAGCTCTGAGTTGAGTCTGGGCCTCTACCGATCTTCCTCTTGACTCAAATAGTATATGTTTACTACCCTGGCAATTTTCTTTGCATAGGGAAATGAAAAGGCATTTCCTTTGAAAAGCGTTGTAAGAATGTTCCTGGTCTATAGACAGCTGGGGAGGGGTGGGAGAGGAGCAAGTTGCAGACACTGTGCTTAATGCTATCAGTGACACAACCCCGTTTTGTTCTAATATGTTGTAGCTCATGCTACATATTTTGCAGCACATATTAATTAAAATATTGTACCTGTATATGCTCATGTACATTTAAAATCCAGAAAGCTATCCATCAACCTAGAGACTGTGCCTGGGAGATGGCGGTAGAAGATATGTGAAGGTTTTGTTGTTTGGGTTTTTTACCTTTTATTGGTATGGTTATTGTCTGAATATTTCATAAATATGAGAAATTAGAAAATGATTTGAGACTAAGAAAAATCCATTTTAAAAATCATTGCAATTGGGTGGAGAGATGCCTCAGCAATTAAAAGCACTCGTTGCTCTTGCAGAGGACATGGGTTCAGTTCCCAGCACCCACATGGTGGCTCATAGCCTTCTGTAACTCCAGTTCCAGAGGATCCACCCCCCTCTTCTGGCCTTCTTGGATACCAGGCATATACATGGTACACATACATAAAGGTAGGCAAGCCCTCACACATGAAACATGAATAAAATTTATAAAAACTTCAATTAAGTAAAAAATTTGTAGTCTATTTCTTTAAATCTTTCTTCCACCAGTTGGTTTCTCCTCACTTTTCCTTAGGCAGAAGCTACATAAACAAATTTCACTTCCTCTTATTCTTCAAAAGATAGTACTAAAGCGCAGCCAACTCTCCAAGCCCTGCAGAAGGCAAGGGGGAGGACGGATAACCGTCTCCTGGCTGGGCCTCGGGGCTGAGCTGAGTTGCTGTCTTGTTCTCACAGGAGAGTGCTGCCATGTACAGCCTTCATCCCCTGGCTCTCATCTTAAATGCTTTCTTGCGTGTGCACACTTTCTCTAGTCACTTTCTCCAAGAACAATGAAGCATATCCTCCTTTCTGTGAGAGCACTTTTGGAAACCTCAGGCTGCAGTTATCTGTCTGTATCTTGGTTTGCGGGCTGGATCCCTGAAAAGTCCATTCACTCTTTGAAAGCAGGAAACACTTCCTCTCATCTAGGTGTCATCCTTTCTCATGCCAGCGTCCAGCACAGAATAGGCCCTTTGCATATATTTATGGTAGGAAGGAGTGAACACAAATAAAGGAGGGAAGGAGGGAGAGAAGGAGGGAGGGAGGGAAGAAGGAAAGAAAGAATGAGGAGGAAGGCGCAGGCTTCACTCCTGGTTAACTTTTATTCCAAAGGAATATTGTTCCTCATATCGACATTTCAGAAGAAATTGAGTGCATTCTGCCCATGATGGATCTGAGCACTAACAAAGGAGTCTGGAGAGAACTACTTGGTATTTTATCTGATCCAAGGCATAACCTTCAATGATTTCAGTCTCCAACTTTCCAAAGTCTCATTTGCCTGAATTATACCTAACAGGTTGGCAGGCAGGGAAGGTTCCTGCATAAGTGACAGAGCAGCTGGCTAGCATAGCAAAGAAAAAGAATGCCATTCTGCCAACCTTAAGCTGCTGGGGTGGGGAGGGGGGAGATCTGATGCCAGAGTAGGACTGGGAGACAAAGATAAAGGGAGATGAACAAGGGCTTCAAAATCACCTACCCTTCAGTGTGGCCCTGTGTCCAGTCCTGATTCCTTCTCTCCTAAGTTCCCTGACGAATCTGCCATGCAACTGCACAGCCAATTACCAGACACGCAGGGGACATTTTCAAGCCACCCCAATACTTTACTTGGAGTCCAGTACTGATCTGGGAAGCCTGCTCTTTTATGCTGGGTGTAAGAACTTCCTGATAGAAAACACATCTAGTTTTCTGAAGCTGGATCTGTGGTGGAAAGACTGACTCTTGTGGTTAGAATTCACTTCCATGCAGGAGTGTTGATGCAGAGCTTTTTATTTTAGTAAGCAGAGGATATTCTGTGCAGAGCAACACCTGTTCTCCACACTGCCAACTGTCATTTCCTTCCTGCAGGCAGGAAGTCAAAAACTGAAACTCTCTAAAATTGTTAGCAAGATCATTTGTAATCTCAAGAATGTCCTGGCATTGCAAGGTTTGTTTCCTGTGATCATAGGATGTCAATGTGCAGAAAGGCAAGAGGTGGGGGCAGTGATGCCACCCTTGGGCTCAAGTTGGCACTGCACCAAACCCCGGGGGAGTGGGGGGGACCACGACCTGCGCTCCTGTGCCTCAT